GTCAGCATTTTAATTAAAAAGACTATTTAATGATATGCAATATTAATAATTTAAGATAAAAATATGATAGCTGCAAGACAATATCTTTATTGTTTCCCTTTTGTGCTAAAATAAAAAGATTGTTGGGGCATAGGACTGGCTCCAGTGTAATGGCAGAATTAAGAGTGATTTAATTGAAAAAACTTTTCTCTAGTTTTAAATGATATACAAGGGAGCCAGGGAGATAGCTCAGTGATTTAAGTGCCTGCCTGGCAAGCACAAGGTCTTGAGTTCGATTCCCAGTACAAAAAAAATTATACACAATTAAAGTATACTTTTTTTATAAACAGAAATATTCTTATAATTTTTAAGAGAAAAGAGGAAACCTCCCTATGCCGACCTGTGTACTGCATGTGTTTAAGGCCGGAGAGGTTAGGATACAACAGAGCTGAGCAGATGGGTCCTCTTCCCAAGGTGGGTGCCCCCCCCCCCTTCATCACCTGCCTGGGATTTTTATGAGGCTGATTGCTGGCCATCGGCTTTGCTTATGATAATACTGCCTCACAAATGCAGGGCTTGATGCTTCTGAGAGTTGAATTCTGACAAGCTGTCAGATGAAATGCAGACATTTTTGTGCCAAAGACATTCTAATGGTGCTTCTTTGGATATGTAAGTAGTGCTGATCTTTAGGGCTCACACAGAAGCCAGCATCCTCTTCTAGTAACTTCCATGCCTAGGATCAAGGGCCTGCAGTGATGCGATTTAAACCTACAGAGGCATCTCTGGAGTTTTCTAGTTGAGGGCTCAGCAGGTTGACGGTGTGGCTCAGAAGAGCCTGGGACGGCAGGGCCAACAGCTTCAGAGCTGACAGTCAGTAGCTTTGGTCATGGGCAGACCATGATCGTTTCACCCATAATTGTAGCTATGGGGGTGCCTACAGACAAGCAAGTTTTGGCCTGCAGGGGAGTATTCCATTTTGTATGGTGGTGAGAACCAAAACCCTCCTCTGGCCTATGGGTAAAGCGGACACTAGAAAGCAAAAGCCCCAGTCTGTACCCCTGTACATGGACTTCACATTCATCTTCACATAGTCTCAGGGAAGAAATGGACTGTCTGTCTGGCCATGACTGCTGCAGGCTGAACATGCAGCTCAAAATCCATCTCAGGGGCATCCGCTTTATCAAGGAATTCATTCTGCCACCAGTTTACATGTTTAGATTTGGAGGATGAGGAAGGAGAAAGAATAAGTTTTTCAAATGGTAAGTGGGATGGGACCTCCCTGCAAATGGCCCAGCTTGTTATGTAATTGTTTTCACCTGAAGCTGTGCGTGCCTGTATCACAAACCTTTTAGGACTGTGTACTATGAAGTGGAGTTTCCAGTCTGGTCTGTCTGTGTCACAGAGCTAGTCAAAGGGTTTCCTGAATTGTGTGTAAGCTAGGTGGTATTTCTAGATGCGTAAATAGCTTGTCTCAAAAATACACACATTTCTGTTCTTCAAGTATGTTTAGGTACTTTGGTACTTAGCAAAAGGAAAACTTACAAGCATTTCAAATTCAAAGGAACTATTTGGATTTTCTTTCTATGCTTTTTTCAGTTTCACTAGCTTGTTTTGGAGGTATCACCTTAATTTCTTTTTTTGTTTGTTTGTTTTTTGGCAGAACTGGGGATTGAACTCAGACCCTTGTGCTTGCCGGGGAAATGCTTATTCTACTGAGCCATCTCCCCATTCCCCTCATGTTAATTTCTTATTTTATGCTACATTAACACATAGAGCAATGTTTTTCAGATCATTACTTACAAGGAAGAAAGGAGGAAATCCTGGAGAAGGAGAAGTTCAGGGGGCAGGATGCCAAGCCGGAGAAACCAGACTCGCAAAGTCAAGACCACACTGGCACCAGCCCAGTGTTCACCCCACCTGCCAAGACCGCAGCGCTGTAAGGGTAACTTAGCTACTGAGCTTGCGTGGCTGTAACGTGTGGGGCACCCTCTTTCACTGGCTGCTGCTTTTAACTCTTTATTGAGGATAAGGAACAATTCCTTATTGTTTTTGAAGCTTTTATGTGTGTTAAGTTTCCAGGGCAACAGACAAAGACAGATAATCTACAGGGTGACTTCCCAGCAAGACAGTTCTGTCTTGCAAGTCATCAGTGGGCCAGAAACCTCTGTGCAGGAGGAGATGTCTGTGGATGCAGTGCACGTTTTCATGGATGAACACGGTGAGTTGTGGAGTGGTTTGCTAATAAGCAAAAAGGGGAAGGCAGAGCCTTCGGCCCGCTGCATGGAATGATAGCCTGAGCACCATTGTATTTCCTTGCACAGAACACTAGGCCTTGTATTAATTTTTGTTCTAAAAGATACAGTAGGACTAATTTTCAAGGCTTGTCTTATTTTTCATGTCCAGCTATTTATACTGATTCATGTACAACAAACTACATTTATTCATGCACAAAGATCTGCATTTATCCAAATATAGTCATGTCAGCCTCTGGAACCCTGAATTTCTTGGGACTCCATTTCCTGGAGAACCATTGACGCCAGTCTGTCCTGTGCAGCCACAGAGCTGTCCTCGAGTGAGGGGCACTTGCCCAGGTCACCTGCTCGTGGTGCACTGGCTGCACAGTGGTCAGTGATTTTATCCCATGAATTCTTCACCCACGTCAAGACCTCTTACAGGCCGGGCTTTGCAGAGTTCCCATTGAACTGAGTGTTAATTAAAAACTTATGAGACAGGAATAGCAACAAAAATGATGATGGTTTAGAGCGATGGTCCACACACAGGTGATGAAAAATTGCAGGCACCAAAAATTCAAAAAGAATGTTTCTGCATCTCACATAAGTGGAGCAGGTATGCCCGTTACAATGCGTGATGCACCAGATTATGAAGATTTGTCTTAGACACAGTCAGGTCTGTTTGTTATCAAGTGCACATGTTATTCATGTATTGTGTCTGTACTCTTGTTTGAATGTTTGGCCATGTCTTGAGATCACCTGCTTACACAGGCCTTTACCTCTCATCCAAAGGTGCCTGCATGGGTATTTACAAATCCTTAATTATTATTTATCTCATCATTTTAAGTATTAATGTCAATAATATTATTTATTTATATTTAATTATATAGTAATATTATTTTATAATTCAAAACATGCATCCTTTGTTGCGGCACATGTACTAAATGTGTCCATCTGGTTGACAGTCTTTTCTTTTTTGATACTGGGAATGAAACTCAGGACCTCACGCTTACCTGGCAGGTGCTGTGCTGCTGAGCTGTACCCCTGGCCATGGTTGACAGCCTTCCCTGGGACTTACTTTGGGGGTAGGACGTATATTATGAGCATCCTGAAAGGTCATGCGAGGGCTTATTTTACAGTTAGGTCTTCTTTTCAGCTGAGGCATGGTAGCTGTTAGAATAGGCGACATCCTGTGATTTTGCTTAATATTCTTGGGAAGAGTATGCCCCTTTGTGCCCTGGGCCTCTGCGTATACTGTGTTCCTGCTGTCATGTGCTACTTTCTTGCACATCTTTGTTCTAAGAAAAGTTTTTCAGACTTAATAAGGCATCTCTGTTTTTTGTCCCTTTGACCCCATTCTTTTCTTTCTTTCTTTCTTTCTTTCTTTCTTTCTTTCTTTCTTTTTTTTTTTTTTTTGGGTATAGGGGATCGAACTTGGGACCTTGAGAGTGCCAGGCAGGTGCTTATGCTGCTGAGCTGTCTCCCCAGCTCCCCTGTTCTTTTCTTATTTGATGATGTTATAACCTATAATTATTCATTTATGATACTTTAATTAATGCAAATTTCTTTCTCACAACTGTAAACTTCAGGATGATGCCCAGCACCCTGTAAATATTTGTTGGATGCTTGTCGAATGCCTGACCTTGATAAATTTTATCAGCACCTTCTTATTAAAAGAACTTTAAATAGGCATTTTCTCCCCCACAGCCTACAGGCCACACGTTGCTCCTCAGGATCATATATTTTTGCCTTACTATGCAATTTTTATTGATTTTTTCATGGCTGCACTGTGAGGTGCTTGACTGTGGACCTCACACGTGGCCATGGGTCACTGGTAGAGGAGGGTCCCCTGCGGAGCTAATCCTATTCTGCACCACCCCACGGTCCAGTCCACGCCCGCCCACATCAGCAGTGATGTGCGCCTGTGTGGCTTGCAGAACACAGTGTGGCAGTTATTGGCAGTGGCAGCTCAACCTGCCTGTGTGCGGGCCTGTGAAGACGAGTGTTTGTCGTTAGCCAGCCAACGTGTAAGTTTTCTTATTTAATTGTTAAATTTGGGTTTGTGTTATTTTTAAAAAATATTTTGGTAAGCTAACATGAAGAAGAGGAAGTTTTGTTGCTTGCGTACACTAACCCTATGGTATGTTTTGCAAGTGGACCCAAACAATCCTCTTCATGTGGCTTGAATAAGGACAAAAGTTTGGACCCCCATGATTTAAAATATTGTACACTGAGCATCATCAAGTGGCATGTTCAGAGTCCCCAAAGTAAAAGAGATAGTTTCTGGTTTTTTTCTAGAATGCCTCTTTGCTAAAGTCTCTTTATAAACCAAGTCATTGTTATTTGCTCCAAGGTCATCCTGGTTTGGGTAATAAATTAAATGGTTACCTTTTGTGGAGCTCAGGGGTGTATGGTCTTCAGCACCTGTGTATCTGCAGACATACAAAATGATGACAGTTTTGGACAAAGAACTACACTGGCCAGCTGGGGATACAGCTCAGCAGCACAGTGTCTGCCTGGCAAGTGTGAGGTTGTAAGTTTGATTCCCAGTACCAAAGAAAAGTACTGCCCTGGCAGTTCCATGGAAGACTAGAAAGGGGCAGGTTGTCCCTCCTGGCTCACCGCCTTCCAGAGGCTCACAGCCCTTGGAGCAGGGAGCTGCTAGAAGTCTGTGGAGGGAGGGACCGTGTACATTAGGGTGGGAACTGACTTCACACCTCAGTGCCCCAAGCACCTCTAGTAGAGCTAGGCAGCTCTGCAAGTGTATTCCGCCCCCTGCCTTTGTGCATCAACACGCCGACACCCAGTCAGCTGCTGCAGCAGCACTACTGTCTGCGCACCAGAGAGGCAGCACTGACTCCTGCGGAGGCCTCAGGAGCTCCACCAGTCAGAACTGCAGGCTTAATAAACCTCTCCACATGATACCCGTGTGTACGCAATGCAGGAAAACACCCAGTTACAGCCTAGTGTGGAGCATGCTGACACGTGAAGGGAATTTATGAAAAGTGAATTAAGAGATGATATAAATGATGATTAAAAGCAATTAAGTGTTAAGTAATAGAGTCAGAACTTTTTTAAGTATATTGCCTGAGAGGGATGTCAACCACAATGTTTCTTATTAAAGTTCTTTTGTACCTTGTTCACCTTCTCATGATACATGTTCTGTGGAGAAATGTAAGCAGTGGGCCTAACATGCCAACAGTTATTACTTCAACACCCCAAACTGAGCTCTCTTTAACATGAAAATCGCGTAGGATGAAGCGGTCATATACAAATAACTGTAAGCTACTTTGTGGAAATCTTGTGATTTTTGCAGGGGAAATTAAGTCCTGTTACTTAAAGTCTGGAAATCAGAAAGAAGGCTCCTTCCAGTGTCCTCCCTCCGGCGAGACCTGTGCCCCGCAGGCCCGGTGAGTGGAGCTCGGCTTGCAGTGAGGGAACTGCGGCACCCAGGGGGGTGCACAGCCTACTCTGAAAAGAAAGCGTGGGGCCTGGTGTAGAAAGAGCACGTTAATCCATTTTTAGGTTCATCTGACATGAGGGCAAGAAACTCTGACATGACTGAATAATGAAAAACACACGGGACCACTTTCATTGCTGCCACTTCCAAAAATGAGCGTGAGGTGCAGCGTGACTAGGGAGCAGCCCGCGGAGCGCGCAGCCGCGAGAGAGGGCTCTCCAGCTCTTGCTGCGTCCTCCCGGGAGTGCTTTGGAGATGTCCTTGGTGCTCATTTGTGCTAAGACAGGCACGCTGCGTTGTAGCGAGATGATCTAGACATCTTCTCTGGTGTCTTTTCTTCATGAATATGCTCCGCTTTTTCCCTAGGGAAGTGCTTCAGCTGAATTACCGAGTAGCACTACTGAGCAACTGAGTAGTTTAGGATAAAGCCACACACACAGAGCCTCGAAGAGAGCGAAAGAATATGCAGACAGGAATCGGAGAGCAGCCTGCAGGGTTCTCGGCAGCCCCCGTTTCCTTAGGTTGCATCCTCCCGAGTGCCACCTGTAGCTACCTTCTCCCCGGAATTTCTCTCTTGGCACTGGATTATTTCATTTTCTCTGTGCTCCCTTTCCCAGACAGAGCCCCTTCCACTTTCCCTCCCACCTCCCAGGGCTGCTGGTCTTGGCTTGTGCAGTGCGTTTGGTCTGGGCAGCAGGGCTGTGGCATGTAAGCATGAGACCTGGCAGGTGCTGGAAGGGGCTGCTGTGCTTCTGGTGGGCCTCGGACCAGCCCTGCGGCCTGGGGCAGTCTCAGAGCATCGGTCCTCCCCAGCTCCATCTTCTTAGGTGCGCGGCACAGCTGGGCCCCTGCTGCACAGGAGTGGATCTCACCTCCAGCAGGCGTAATCGTGTGAGAAGTGCCAGGTCATGTTCCTGAGAAGTCGTGGTGGCGCCTCCTCAGGAATGTGTGGATCAAGGCCTTCCTGTGGAGGCTCCCCGGGGCGTGTTTTTCCTCTCTCTGTGCTTCTCCTGCTCCCCTGTTTACACAGCTCTCTCAAACACTGCACCATGTTGTCACCAGGCGATTGTCATCACCCTGTAACCTCTCACTCAGCCTACCCGGAAACGAGCTTCTTTCTCATGAACCCAAATAGTCTTCTTACGTCAGATTTGTTCTGAACAATGTGTGTACCTTGCGCTCAGTCACTGATGTGGGACTACTTATGGACCCAAAGCTGGATCAGGGTTCCTTTGAAGAATAGGTGAGGGTTCCTCCATGGGGCACTTGGGATGGGGAAGATAGGTGCAGGAGGCACACGATAGTAGGGGACCCCTGAAGTCTCTGATTTTGGTAAAATAGGCAACTGAAATAATTATTGAGCTTGTTTAGGGAGAAAAATGTTCAAGTATGTAAAAGCAGTTTTCCATTATAGAAAGACTTTATGTTGCGTCCCTAGGCTGCAGGGTAGCATTTCTGGTGTGAATGGCCCATAGACTAGGTTGTGGTCCGCCAGCCACAGTACTGAGTGTTGGGCTGTAGGCTGACTCTACTTGTCCAGGTGCTGAGGGGCCTAGTCTTGTGGATTCTGGGAAGGAAAGGCCCGTTGCCACATATGGCTTCCCTTTCTGTGCTTCCAGAACAAGGAAACTAATGCCTGTGTCTTCTGTTGTCTGTGTGGAGTGTTGTTTGGGGATGTAATGCTTGCTACACTGTCTGGCCTTTGAATAAGTGAGTCCTTAAGATTGTCAGTGGGGTCTTAGCCCCACGACAGTAGGTGTGTTGGCCCCGTTGTGGCTCATTGGGACACGGCAGATGTGCAGGGCTTTCTGTCCGATACGGAAGCATAAACTCAGTCCCTTCCCTTAGCACAGTTACCGGGCTGTGGCTGTTCTCATCCTGGCAGAGCAGTGAGGGTGCTGCCATCTCCTCAGTTCATGCTCAGGAGCAGGGGTTCAGCCTTGCTGGGCTATGACCCACATGCCCTGTGGGTGCTCCTGGAGCCTCAGATTCCTCCCCTACTCCAGACACCAGTCAGAGCAGGCTGAGGCCCATGAACTGGTAGTAAGCCTTTAGCTTGGGAGAGCGTGTGGTGGTGGTGACTTGGGTATTTTACAGCTGGTTGCACAGTTGCTAGAAAATAGAAGAAAAACAAATAGGCTGGCTAAATTCAAGTATTTTTAATGTCTGCACTAACATACCAGTGTGTGCATGGGTATGTGTGTATGCTATATATGTATATACATGTACGTGTGTGCGTATATGTGTGTAGTATGTGTATGCATGTGTATGTGTGTGAATGTGTGTTGGGGGTCCAGAGTGTTGTCACCTTATCACTGTCTCTCATGCTGGAGGCATGGAATGACCTCAGAGCCCAGTGAGTCCCACCAGCAGGGCAGGTGTTGTCACACAGAGAGGTTAGAATTAATATTATGGTTCAAGTTGGGTGTCCCTTGAATCTTCTGTGCAGAGCATCCTGATAGCTCATGGCCCCAACTCGAGGGGGCATTTCCAGTGACAGTTCTGGCAGCAGCAATGCCATTTAATGTGCTTCTGTGCTAAGTGGGTGCTAGATCTTAAAATATCCAGTGAGGTTGAGGGAATCAGCTTCACTTTGCAGAAGAGGAAACGGAGACTGATTAAGAAAGGTGCTTGAGGGGGCCGGGGAGATGGCTCAGTAGAATAAAAGCACTTGCCTGGCAAGTACAAGGGCCTGAGTTCAATCCCGGTTCCACAAAAAAAAAAAAAAAAAGAAAAAGAAAAAGAAAGAAAGGTGCTTGATGTCGCAGGGCTAGTGGCTGTAACACTTGGCATACACAGCTGGTGGACACTAACCCCCTCCCTGCCTTTCCCTGCAGTAGGGACAGAGGGTCGTCATAAGGTCGTGGGAGCCAGGCCTGCGGGGCCAGTGTGGAAGGGTACTGCAGTGAGGAGAGGCCATTCATCCTATCTGTGGGTGGCTGCTTTGCTGTCTGCAGCCTCCTGATCCCAATGTAAGCCTGGGATGACCATTTTTGTTTTTTTCCAGTAGGAGCGTGGAATTCACATTTATATGTAAAAGTTTTTCACTTAATGTTGATTTTAAAAGGATTTTTTTTGTGTGTGTGCTAAGGCTTTCACACCGAGCTGTATCCCCTGTTAGGTTTTATTTTGAGAAAAGATCTCTCTTCAGTTGCCCGGGCAGGATTCCAACTTACAGTCCTCTTGCTTCAGCCTTTCAGAGTGCTGGGAATGCGGGTGTGCGACACCAGGCCAATTTTAAACTTTCTGAAATACTGCAGTGCACGCATCCCAGGCTGTGGCCTTCGGACTGCCTGTTGTCAGCTCCTCCTGTGGGGTCCTCCACACCCACCCTGGGCCTCCTGTGGGTGACCCTGCTGTCTCTGAGCCCTTCTTGTGGACACGTGATGGCGATCTTGCCATGCCCTTGGGTGATGCCCACTGCAGCCTCCACCCACTTCTCCCTCTGGTCATTCGCATCTTTCAGAGCTCAAATTGCAGTTTGTCTCTTCTAGGCCTACACTGTGAAAATAAACTCACCTGTCCAGGTTGCTTCCAGAAGAGTCTGAGCGTAGTCTCTGCTGTGTCGTTAGTCTGCAGATAGTTCCCAGCTCTTCTTGGTTGTCAGAGTCTATTGAAAAGTGACCACAGCCAGGGTGACCTTATAGCTCTCCCAGCTCTCTTCACACAGATATTCAGTAAATATTTGCTTAAATCAAATCGAGTTTTTAGGAGTGACGCAGATGCCAAGGAGGAGTTGTAGGTCATTCTAAGGCCAGCTGAACATTGGAGGACAACATGAAAACTGACCAGGACCGGTGATGTAGAGTCAGAGGTCTACAGGACCCGGTTGGGGATGTCCCCCTTTATTCTCTGAGCAGTGAGTGATGTGGCCTCTCAGCAGAGAGGGACACCCTGATGAGTGTGGGGTCAATCAAGGTGACCTTGGCAAGCTCCTGTTTCTCCTGTGAGCGGCTGGAGGGTGAAGAGGGAAGCTAGGTAGAGCGAAACTTTCAGGATGGGCCGCTTGAAATCCTGTGCATGGCAACCAGACCTAGACTCGTTAGGCCTTCCGGTCCTGCATTGTGTTAATGAAGCTCTTCTCCCTGTCCTCACGAAAGCTGATGGCTGGGGAAAACCAGGCATGGGACACCAGACGGGGTTGAAATTGGAGAGCTCCACCTCCTCTCAGTGCAAACAAGAATTCTGTCTCTAGCAGCAATCTAATGCTTGTGGTTATTTTTTTGTTTGATATTGTGCAACTTCCGTAAACACTTTAACTGTAAGCTTCTCAATACATCAATTGAGGGGAAATCTTCCCAACTCATCTGCTGGGTTGCTTTAAAGATTAGATGTGGTAAGGCCTATGCTAACGACAGTGCCTATGACCAGTGCCACCTGTTGCTTCTCCCTTTGAACACAAGTGGGGGACAGTGGCCAGAGTTCACTGTGATTTTACTCTACAAAGGATCCTGGATTTTGATCAAGAGGAAATCTTTCCCATAGTGCTTTTATGGGTTGCTTTGTAAGATCATTAAGCTGGGAAAGTACTTTCTGTTCTCCTTGTCCACCTGTTGTGGCCCAATATCTTGGCACCTATGGTGACTTTAGAGCAGGTATTTTAATATTATGATCCTGAATCTTAATGCCATTAAATTTTGAATCCTCCCACCATTGTGTGCATAAAATTTGATTTTGAATGTGAAGGATGCTTGGTTGGGGCTGTTTCTAGCCATTCAGCCATGGAAGGTTCTGGAAAAGCAGCTTTTTCCCCATAAAGTGACCTCAGTGGCTGGGATTGCCTCCAACTAGGCCATTAAACCACTGAATCTGATTATTGGCAAGAAGGTTTTCCCTCCTCGTCATTGTTAAACCTTGTCACCATGTGACAGTTTTATGTCTCTGACTTCCAAGTATGAATAGGGAATTGTTAGCTGTGTAACTTGCATGTCTCTCTGGGGGTTCCCAAAGGAAGCCAGGAGAGGAAGCTCATTTCCCTCCTCGGTCCCACTCTCGTTGTGGGACCCTCTTAGGAGCTGCCAGAGGCACGGAACGGAGCTTTGTGGTCATGCAAGAGCTGTCCGTAAAGCAGGTACTTGGTAACTTTATCTACCACAGCTCTGCTTTCCCCAGAGACAGAAGGAGTGGGCTGTGGCTGGGACTGCAGCAGTTGGTACTGTGACTGGGACAGACTGCCAGGGGATAAGCCCACGTCAGTTTTTTATTACCCAGAACATAAGACTAATTCAGGAGCTCAGAGCCCGAAATGAGCTGATCTACCTAGAAAGCTGAAGTTAAAGCTGGCTTTCTACTGAGCAAGTCGAAGGTGGAGCTGCCCCGGAAGCTAAAGCATACAATGGGATGAAAGGGTTCCTTGCACAGTAGACTTGCATTATTCTTCTGCAGGTTTTGTGATGAAGGCGTAATAGTTTCTGTTCTTTGTTCAGCAAACAGTTTTGCTTTTTGTCTTAAAAATTATTCACAATAATATATCAGAGCTTTCTTTTTAAATGAACTGTGTGTTCAGTAGTCCAGCCTTTCCAGTGTCATAAGCAACTGAATGAAAAGTATGTGACATGCCTGTCATCTGTTCCCAGTGCCATCTGAAGGCAAGATATACTATTCACAATCACTTTGATGGTGAAGAACACATGAAATAGGTATGTGGGATGGAATAGAAGTGTCATCCTAGATCACATTTATTTACAGGACTTTTATTAGACAGTTTTTATGTCTCTTTAAATTCACTTATTTCTGATTTTATTTGCTTTAGAATCAGGGTAGCACATGGTGAAGTAGATATTATTTGGCTTACAAGTTAAGTTCCTTTTTAGAATCTGTTCTAAATCTCTAGACCCATTTTATATCATCCCCCAAAGGTCTGTTACTCTTTACCCCCTGTACTTACTCTTCATTGCCTAATTCTTACACTTTTCTTGACATCTTCAGCTTCTGTGACCCTTATACCTCAGTCAAAGCATTCTTGCTTACTGAGACTGTTAGAACCATGGGCCCCAGAGTTTAAGTGTGGACCTGGTTCCCACAGAATGGGAGAAGGCAGGAAGTTGTAAGAACTCACCCTCCCTGTTTGAACTGTTCTACTATATCCAGAAGAAGAAATGGAGCTTTGTTTGGCGTGGCTGAACGGGAGCGTGGCCACGCAGTGTGTTCCTCAGATGTGCAGAACATTATGACCTTTCAGTGTCAGATGTGCCCGATTGTATGTCCATCTGAGCATGGTTTCAGTTCTAAGTACAAATTTCTGAGATGGTGCCTGTGGTCGTGTCGCTGTTGATTTTGGCAGTAGAGAGATGCATGTTTGCTACTTCAAATTTGAAAAGACCTTAATGGGATCTTGGAACCTTTGAATGCATAGAGGTAGGACCAGATGGGGCGTGGTATCTGGTTTTGAGTGGTTTCTGCCCTCCCAAGTTGCTCGTTCCCTCTTGCTTCTCAGCTGTTACTCTGCGTTCCTTGCCATCTCATGCCTGCCCTGGATTCGTGGACACATCGGGAGATTACACTTCCAGCCAGGCCCACCTTCCATAGCTTATAGGGAGGGAGGAAGCAGGGAGGGAAGAATAACTGACTCTACAATGATTTCAGTCCTTGAGGGCGGAGGCCGGTTGCACAGGAGACTCCCGCACTGTGGTACGGCATGGCCGCCACACGGGGGCAGTCAGCACCCGCGCTGCAGGCTGCCTGTCTCTGCCTTCCCCGACACTTGCCCAAGTCCTGCTGTCACAGACTTCCCCATTTGCAGGATGGACAGGCTGTGTAGATGCATGTCCTCTAGGGTGAGCATGGTATGCTGATTCCACTCCTCAGCTGTCCCTCTGTGATCCTTGTGGCTGTGGCATCCAGTGAGCCAGGAGCACAGAGATGGCCAGGCGAGGGAAAGCGGACAGCTGGCTGCTGCTCTTGTGTCTGCACAAGGTGAAAAGTCTCGGGAGATTTTCCACATCAGTGGGAAGGTGGAAACACGGCACATGTATTTTCCTTGCTTGCTCCTTGTAGCAAGTCAGATGGATGAAAGGCTGGGAAGCCCGACAGGGTGCAGTGTCACCAAGGTAGATTTGGGGCCCAGCTCTGTCTCTGGGAAGGCGCACTGCTCTGGCCCAGGCTTGACTCCTGCCACACGTTCTGTTCCCTCTCAGAGGTGGCTCTTCATAGCCACCACCCTTAGTTACCACTTCTGTTATTGCTCTGGGCAAAATCCAGTGACCCTGAAATTTACCTTTCCTATCAACCTGAACCATACTAGTACCAGAGACTAACCACAGAACAGATGCCGGAAACCAGATGTGCCAAGTTTAGCAGACTGTGGCTCTGAGAAGCATTCCTCCAGGCATATCTCCCTGTGCACTGAGGTGCTGTAGGGGGCCAGGTTGATGGCTCGGTGGAATAATCCCCGGTTCCATAAATAAATAAATAAATAAATAAATAAATAAAGTGCTGCAATGCTGTGTGTGTGTGTGTGTGTGTGTGTGTGTGTGTGCGCGCGCATGCGCACATGCGCGTGCCCATGCGTATTCTGCGTAGCTGCTCCTGGCACCTGCAGGCAGGTAACCAAAATTCTCTTTGTCCCTCCCCAGAGAGGTGCACCTCAGCTCCTCCAGCACTACCACTTGTGAGAGTCCAGACCCATCCTCTGGGGACCCTGCAGTCAGTGCCCTGCAGCAGCAGCTGTTGCTCATGGTGGCCCGGAGGACCCACTCAGAGACCCCGCGGGTATGTGCCTTCTGAGATCACTGTTTGTGTTGTTCTAGAAGCAGGGGATCTTAAATACTCTTCCTAGGTTGATTGACCAGCTCTCATCCTGAATTTTGCTTTGCTAAGTGGCAAATCTATCAGTGTATGCAGTTTATTAAGTGAATGTGAAAAGAAACTTTAGATAGCAGATAACCTTCCAGTGACATTATCAGAATTACCTCTGCGTCACTTCCTTTTCCAAATGCATTAGAAATTCATTCACATTGATCTTTGGTTGCTAGGATGTGTTGTTCCCAGGGGAACACACTGGGTTAGTTTATACCTCCACCCCTATAACTTGCTGAAGGTTTTGACCATAACTGGTTCTTTAAAAAAATTATGTTAACCTTGAACACTCAGCACTCAGATTCTTAAATATTTAACCCAAACAGAGACCTTATTCCTGGGATGTGGACACCCAGGCTCTAGAGAGGAACTGTTTTCCTGGGAGATGTCTTACGGTGTTTGTCACTCATGCAGCCAGGTATCAGGAGGCTCAGGGAAGGCTAAGCCAGGATCCACAGCCACAGACACCATGGGAGGTCAGGCCCAGGTGCCAGTGGGGCAGAGGGGCTGAGATTTGGATGGAGACATTGGGGAGGAGAGGGAAAGGAAGTGCCCTTAGAAAAAGAGGCATTCAGGTTAGACTTAAAAGAAGTGTGGCCCTCCTCTAGCTCAGGTAGAGGAAGGAGGACTGTAGGTATGATAAAGTTATTTTGGTGTGAAGTTTCTAAAATTCTGTGCTTGCTTTTCTTCTGAGATGTCAGTTCCCTCTAGGGCACATTGACTTTTGAAAAAAACATATAGAGCTTTGTGGTAGTTTTTAGGATTGCTTAGCCAAATTTTTCCAGAGAATGTTTGATAATATTGTGAGTTGGTCTATCTATTCATCTATCTGTCTGTCTCTGTCTGTCTGTCCATCTGTCCATCCATCCATCCATCCATCCATCCATCCATCCATCCATCTATCTAACGTGTAAAAAATAATCAAGTTCTCTTACTTGACTCCTCCCTTGGAGAGGCTAAGGGGTCTTAGGAGTGCCAGTGAATGGTGACTCAGCCCTCTTGGGTCGTGGAGTTTCCACGAGAATGAAAAGGTGCTCAGCTCATCCCAGATCCAAGCTTTCTGGACCCTTCCATTCTGTGTGTGCAGGCTCACCTGCTTCCTCCTGCAGGCCTATGGGTGCAGTGGGCTGCTGTCCTGAGCCCACTATGGAGGTGAGGTTTATGGGAAGGACAGAGTTTCACAGGATACCTCCTTGTGGGGTCACACACAGGCTGCTGAGCGGTGCTTGCTGGGCTGGTGCTGGGTCGGTCACCTACTGTCCACCAGGGACTGCCATTTGTCCTGTTCTGAGGACCTTCATTGGGCATCTTCCTCCTCTCCATCCACGCCTTAGGGCTCATGTCTACATCTCCGAGGATCCAGCCTACAGCTGTATTTGTATGCGCTGCCCCATGGGTGTGGGAGCCCTGCGGCCTGCTCCTGGTGCTCATCACAGTGGCTTTCTGTGAAAAACTCCTGTTCCTCCCTTATGGGCTCAGGCAGAGCTGGCCTTTTCCCATTTCCTGAGTGCTGCAGCTCTGGGAAGCCCGCTAGAGATGTTGAGATGGTTGGGGAAGCTGTGGAGTTCTTGCTTTCATCCTGGCAGAATGGTAGAAAAGTGAGAGATTTGGGGTTCTCAAAGATACAGTCAATCCATTAACTTGATGTCTCAAGATATCACAGTTGGAAGCGCTCTTTTAAAGTAAGTGAATTTTGCAAAGATAACTCAGATCACTCCTTATTTCACATTTGACTCTGTGTAAGTGGCACTGTAATAAAAGTACTATATAAAAAACCTAATTTCATGAATAGCAGTGGTGGCAAACCTAGGGCGCGAGGGTGTGCCGCAGCAGGCTATTTGTATCTTTGAAAGCTCTAGAAGGTTTGGCATCACTAGTCTATAGTGTTTCACTGTCACTTAATCAAAGTTAGTCTTTTTAACTTCTTAATTTTAAATAAAATTTACAGTGTTTAAATTTCTACATCTATGGATGTAGAGTCAGAAAAAAATAAAGATTGCCGTATAGCCTCATATTGAGATATCGAATAAATATTTATGAAGATCTCATACCAGAAAAAAAAAGAAAGAAAATTTTAGCTCTACTATTTAGCTCTCCAAATTGAATTTTTGTCACCAGGGAATTAAATTTTTTTGGCCTCAAAATAAAATGCATTGGTTTCCTGCTCATTATCCAACAAATACTCACAGTAGGCTGAGTACACCTTCCATCCCTGCCAGAAGCTGGGTCAGAGTGATGAACATGCGCCGTCCCCGCCTTCAAGAAGTTCAAGGACAAGCGAGTTCTGTTCTCTGTGGCTGAGCTCAGGGTGAGAGCGGCTCCAGTACTGTGAGACAGCAGAGCAGTGAGGACAGGAGAGCGAACCCAGGAGGAGGCTTTCTGGGGCAAAGATGCCCCAGCTGAAACATGAGGGCTGGGTGCAGTTGGCCAGGTGGAAGGCAGAGGGGGCCAGCAGAGAGAGCTCTGGCCAAAGGTCTGGAGGTAAACCAGCAAGCAGGCATGCTCATGGGTACAAGCCCAGGGGCTTCCAGGGCCAGCGGTATGAGGGCTGCCTCTTAGGATGGCCTGCAACCCAGGCAGGAGGTAGGGCTGCCCCAAAGACTGCATTTACTTCCTTCCCTCTCTCTTTCACTGCACTGAGGTTGGGCCTGCCTAGACTCCAGCCTAGAGGTGTCTTCATACAAGTAAGGGTGGAATTCTACAGGGTCTGTGGAGATGACCAGGAGGAAGAGCTAGGCCAGAGGAAAGCACTGACTGAAATTCTTCCCTGGCACAGAAGAAATGTGTGCAGGGGCTGAAGGGCCCCAAAGGAAGCTTCCCTGGGGTACCAGCTCCCTTCTCTTCATGAGATGCAGAGCTGCAAATCCTAGTCCAATAACACCAAGGGAAGGGCCAAGCCTGGGATACTGTGACATCCAGTGGAATCTGTCCCCATAGCTTGCTGGCATCACCAGATGCAAGATACCGTGAATCCACATTAAAACTTGGTACTTGTCTGTACCTTAGTTTATCTACCATGTGCTTCTAACCTCGGGGGTTACATTCCATATACTTACTGCTGTGACTTTTAAAATCTTACATTGTCCCAGTATGTTAAAGGGCAGGCAAGCAGGTGAGCCAGCACCTTAGTTGGTGGTCTCTACTATACTTTGGTTGTTTGGGGGGCCCGCCGCAAAAGCAGTGTTGGATCTGTGGGTCACAGCATCTTCTGCTCCCCGGCTCTAGTCTTAAACTCATTCTCCTTGTCTTCCATTAGGAAATGAGAGGCCTTTGTAGGTGACAGCTCCATACTTTGTAAACCCTAAAGCTCTCCATCAGTCCCTGATGGTGGCCTTATTGTTATTCTCATGGCATGGAAGCCATTCAGTCCCTTGGCCCTGCCCTGATCAGAATTGGAGAGAACTGCACAAATGAATGGAGCCCAGGGCCCATCTGACTATTCTAGGGTCATGTGGAGTTGGCATTTACATAGCCATTTACTGTCACTAAAGATTCAGTGGCAATCCATAAGAATGGCAATAACAGAGGAAATAATCATATAATGAAAGAAATGAGCATCAGTTATTATACCTTCGCGTATTTATTTTCTGTCTATATTCACTTACTTGAAAGCATGTTATGGCTTTAAAAAGAAAACTGACATCTGCATACTTTTCATTTATCATGTTCAGAAGTTCATTTGAGAAATCCGTTTATCATAAGCATCAAGTCTTACGAATTCTGGCTGCTAAACAGAGCCACTGTTGTAATGGCGTCACTGTGTCATTTATATCTAGTTGTAATTCACCTTTCACTTGCACCTGTTTTTTTTTTTTTTCTTTGAGACAAGGTCTTGTTATGTACCCTAGGTTGGCCTCAAACTTGTGGCAGTCTCAGCACCCCCCCCACCCAAAGTGCTGGGATTAAGATGTGCACTACCACATCCCACCCACTTGCACATTTCTGATACCAAATCCTTATGGGAAATCTTGGGGTTAGATATAATCTCACCTTGGGCTTGATAACTAAAAAGATAGGAGCATGTAGGGTTCTGCAACTTGGGGTATCAGTGGGACTCTGTCCCTGTCCCTTGGTGTTTGAGTCACCATGGGGATGTCCAGTGCGGCCCACATCTCTTCGGCAACCTCCGCTGTGACCTCTTGCCAGCCCACCTCTGACACAGCCTTCCCTCTCTGGGCTTCACAGTTATGTGGTGCCTCTGTCTCCCTTTCAGGAAAGCCTGTGCAGATCTGGGACTCCTTTCCAGATTCTTTTTAAAAGAAGAGGGGACTGTGGAGCTGGCCATGGTCTGTTTCCACAGAATAGCTTTTATTAAATACACTTCATCCTTGAAGTCATAAATCTGACTTTAAATTTGTTATTGTAAAAATAGTATTATTCATTCATTTGGTACAGGATCTCACTACACAATTCACCATCGTAGTGGTTCTCCTATCTCAGCCTCCCCAGTGCTGAGTTACAGGTGTGCGCCATCCCGCCCAGTTTTGGAGCTGGCACAGCATGCCTGGGGTCCCAGGGCCAACACAGCATGTGGTACTGGGGATCGAACCCGGGTCCTTGCGCTTGCCAGGCAGGTGCTTAGATCTTTGAACTATCTCCCCAGTCTAAAAACAGTATTTTGTTTGTAATCCACGATTCTCCATCCTTACTACTTGAGCCAGTGTCCGTCATTGGTCTCCTTTTCAAATTTAGCTTTTTACCTCATTCTTTAGTCATCGGGTCTCCGTACATTGTCCTAGGAGTGCTTGTCATTTGTGCGGGTTGAGGCGACCTCTCTTGGCTGATGAGCACAGTTGCACAAATGGCTTTTGGCCTGCCTCAGGAGGTGGCACAAGGACTCGGGTCTGACATCCAGAGACCTCTTTCTTGGCCCGTGATGGGACCCCGAGAAGGCGACTCAGCCTCCCAGCTGCATGTGTTGAGCAGAGATGATAAGAGTTCTTGTGCGTGCTTAAGGATTCAAGGTGACATTGGACAGAATGACAACTTTAATACTTGCAGCAGTGGTTAGCAGCATCTTAATTCTTATTAGTTCTCTGGAGCTCTTGCAGGTACCAGTGCTCTAGGCAGCAGGAGTTTTTGGGTACCTGAGAAGAGGATGAGTTTTGTTCTTCTTACGTATATTCATTTCCATTAAAAAAACCTTCTAAAATGCTTCCCTGTCTCCTCCTGTGGCTCATTTTGATCAGAGCTGAAGTTGCTCCTGGTAACTGGAGTTCACCAGTGGGCCGTATGCGTGGTAGACACAGGTCTTCATGGGTGGAAGAAGTGCGGTCCTCTTGTCTCTGAGGAAGACCCCAGTGCGGCTGCTCCTTGTCCCCTTTCCTAGTCACCTTCTCAGCCCAGAAGTGACACTTTCAGTTCTTGCCCATGTGACACAGTTTGTTTGTGAGGTGTATCTCACCCAGAAGCAGGCTGCTTGGTGCCTGGTCCAGGCACCTATTTCTTCATCATGTAGACTGCTTAGAGGTAAAGGTAAAGGTCACGGAGTGAAACTCTTCAGTCCTCTGCCAGCGCGTTCCTTGCTGATGCTCCTCAGGGCTCAGCCCTGGATGCCTCACTCCCCGGCCTCTGGTGACAGTGTCCCCCTAGAATGGCTCACTTAGTCTCTCTGCAGATATACAGGTACAGATGTGTGCATGAGAGAGCGAGCAAGCGAGTGAGTGAGAGAGACAGACAGAGACAGAGAGACACAGAACATGTGTGTGCAATCCTGGCTAGATTGCTTGTCTATCCCCCAATTTCTAAGCCCCCTTACTGTATGGACTCTCTCTTTTTATCTTGCCAATTTTCAGCATATCTCTTCATATAGTACCCAGTTTATATACTTTGTACAATATATATTTTATTACTTGAGTGAAAGACTTATTAAAACAATGAGAAAAATTTGAATCAGAATGTGAATTTTGTGTCACAAAATGGGCAGAGGATAATTATTTGTGATTCATGAAAACATCATGCTCTTCACATCCTTGGTATCTAAGAAAAAATATGGAATTCCTTGGACAGTATTTGAAGATGCCTCAGTTCCTTTTTTTCTCATTACTGGGATAAAACACCCAGCACCCAAAGTTAAGGAGGAAAAGGTTTCTTCAGCTCACAGTGTGTGAAGCTTTTAGTTCATAAACGGCTGGCTCCAAGGCAGAGTGGCGCATGGCAGAGGTGTCCGTGGTGGTGGAAGAGAGCAAGACAGCAAGAACAGCAAGGGAGGAGCCGCGGTGGAGACCCTCGTGCTGCCTTCAGGCCATCCACTCCGGGGAGGACGTGGCACACACACTCGTGACCCCAGCATTGGCTCATGAATCAATCACAAACTCTAGAAGCCTGCTCTGTGGTTGCATGAGGCTTTGGGGGGACAGCTAGACCCAAGCCCTACCAGAAGTCAAATCATTTCTTCTTACCATTAAATTCTGTGGAGATTTTCTAACACAAAATCTTCAGTGAAGCAACAGCAAATACCTGATAAACCAGAATCTTTAGTAAGTTTTACAAACAATGTAGAGGAGGTCTTTTTGTGATTTTTGGACACCTTGTCTGATGGCTCAGGTGTGATGATCACGTCAGCTCGAGGAGGTACTTTCCCTATTGGCCAGAGGCTTCTGTCACCACGGCTATGACTTTTCCTGGACCTGTTTACCCATCAAACCTGGACTCCAGTGTCACAGAGATGACAAGCCACACTCACCTGGGCACGTATTTCTTACCTATGCTCTTCATTCATAGGCCATCTTCTTAGATATCCTTCTTATTGCTTAGACGAAGTATTCGACTCAGAGTTAAAAGGGAAAGGTCCATCTGGCTTACAATTCATACAAATTTGAGTCTGCAGTTGGCTGTCTCCAAGCCCGAGTGGCACATGGAATAGGGCATTGGGGGAAGAACAATAGTTCATTGCATGGAGGAGACAGCAAAAAGCAAGCAAGGACCTCAACAGCAAGCGTCTCATGGCCCCTTTTATCTTATTCGATCTGCTTACCCATCCCCTTGAGCCTAACACTGTTCCATGCATCAATCTGAGCATCACATACTCTAAACTCAGCCACCTCTGAGGAAGCTTCACCTGTGACTGCTTGAGGCTTTAGGTGGGTGTCTCCACACAAGCCATAATGGACATCAGGAAAGGCTCCTTTCACTACAAACCACAGGCTCACCATTGTTAGAGGGGTGTTCCTGCTGACAGTGCACCAGAGCACCGAACAACCTCTAGGATGCCCTCCAGAGTGAGGCCAGAGTCCCAGACCCGAGTGGCACTGCCACCTCTTCTCTGGGTCTGCAGCATTCTCATTTTTCTCTTTTCAGCCTTGACCCAGGCTATGAAGAGTCCCTCACCAACTGATGGATGGACAGATTAGTGAAGATTGTTTTTCCCCAAACTGAATATTTTCTACAGAATTAGAGTAATCAAGGTTCAAACTTACCCAATCTGGATCTCAGTTTCCCCATATTCAGTCTTACTGCTTTTGATCTGTTTCAGTATATATTTCTTTTATTCTTTTTTTTTTTAAAAGCAGGCTTCACCAGTGACCTGAATGTCATTAATGCAAATTTCTGTATTCCTAGTAAAATTTGAATATTTATTTCAACATTTCATTGACTTGCACCATTTGAAAAAATTAGGTCATTTAAGAGCTTTTTTGTTTGGTTCTTCTCCTTAATAAGCATTTTCCACAGCAGTTTCTTGGCCTTAATGAGCAGTAGTGGCTTGATTGATGAGTAGCATAATTTTAATGGTATATGAAAATGAACCATTTGAGGTGTGTTGGTACCCAAGACTTTTTGTTGATTGTTATCCTTTTCTTTGAGCATTTATTTCAAATGAAATGTGTTGGTTTGCATTTCAGGATTTGGGATTGGCTTTTGGTATTTTAAAGTTGTGCTTTATTTTGTGACCATGGCAGGGCACTGTGAAACCCTCTCTCTTGTTCCTTTTGCTACCTAAAAGCACGTGAGTCAGGACCTGGAAGACTCGTCATGCTCTTCAGCAGCGGGAAAATTCAACCGAGAACAGTTTTACAAATTATTCATTTTTCCTGGCAAGTGGATCAAAGTCTGGTATGACCGGCTCACCCTGCTGGCGTTGCTTGATCGGTAAGCCACTGACCATGCGCACGCGCGATCAGACGCAGTGGGGCATCGCGGTGCACCTTGTGTGTCTCAAAAAGAAAACCGCAGCCTGTTAAGAGTCCCGGAAACATCTCCAAGCCCTGTCCTTCACTGCTCCAAAGCCCCAGTCACAGCACCGTGGTCCAGAGAGTGAAGACCTTGAACTTTAGGTGCTGCAACTGGAGGTATGAGGGTGGGTGACATGGTCTGGATTTAGGTTAGCATTGAAGACAGTCTATGCTTTGGGTTACTCATATCCTGCCCCATATTTGTAGTAAAGCTCATAGTTTTGTCCGTAGCCCAGGGCCTGGCGAGGCGGAGATGAAGTGGGGTGATGCCCAGCTCTTCCCTGGACCTGGATTCTCGATTCTCACTTCCCTGAATGTGTATCAGCTCGGACGCTGATCTCCTCTTTAAAACCTTCCCCCTTCTCACCTCTTCAAGCACCCATCCCCACCCCGCAATAAAATATTTCCAGGCTGGCGCTGTGGCCACTGGGTGGGGCCGGGGCAGGCAGGGCACTTCCAGCTGGTTGTGGTGTGATGGAGGTGGGCTGGGGAGGGGGCTTTGGTTTCTGCCCTCCCCGATCTCAGGTTATGTAGAGGTCACTGCTGTGATCTTCAAGGGCTGAAGCTCTGGCAGCAAGACCAGCCTGCAGATTCGAGATGCTGTTTCTAAAACAGTCCTCGCTCTGCTGTCACAGCTCAGCGCCAGCCCAAAGGGGTAATAGCGAGGCCGCATGGTTGGTGTCAGTCCCCTCGTGACCACTTGTTATAGTAATGTTACAATAATGTCTTAAACGATGTGAGCACACACACAAAAGCGATAGTCTTGCAAAATTACAACAGTAAATTTCAGGACCCACAAGTCAGGGAATGGCGTTATAATGGTTTTGCTAACAACACTATGTTACCCAAAGGGCACACACGTGAGGGGAACATTTCATACTTAACTAATAATGCAAGACAATGCTTTCTGTTAGATGAGGTATTTTTTAAATTTTTTTTTTCTGTTAAAAGGGAATTATTGAAATTCGGAGTGGGTTGTCTTAACCCTTCACATTAACAACAGATCTTTTGGTAGGTTTTTATTTTGCAATCTACTCAGTGCTAAAAAGAAATCTGCGAGAATTCCGCTGTAATCCAAGAAGAAAATACAGAAGATTACTGCCCTTTAAAAATGCTTACAGTTTTATGGGTATTTGTAGTCACAAAGAGTTTTTAATTTGGTGCTCACAGATGATGTAGAGGCAGCGCCACTCCCTTGTCACCAGGCCCTTAGAGGCTGTGGGGGGCCTAGGTGCTGCAGTGGACCTCTGGAAACTGAACCCCAGTATGTACGCATGCTGAGAGCTTTGGATGACTACCAAGCCTGTCTGTGCCTCAGTTTCCCATCTATTAAATGGGAATGACCTATACCATTGGAAGTTTGTGAGGATTAAATCAATTTATCCCAAAGAAGTCTTTTAAAAACATTAGTTACTGTCAGGGTTATTAGTTACTGCCCAGAACGTGGCCCAGAACAGCACTTTTGCTGAATGAAAGAGTCAAATCCCTCTGCCATTCTGCCCCGGGCCAATCGCCAGGTATCAGTTCTGCCACAGTCTCCTCCCAGAGTGAAAGCCTTGGACTCAGCTTATAGGTTTGGTCAGTCCTTCACTGTGGACAGTCCAGATGTTCAAGATCAGAGGGTCCTGCTGCCTCACCCTGAGGTGTGTCATAAAGTCGTGTGTCCCTCCCTGCTTTCTAGCCCCTGGATTACCTCTCCCTGGAGTGCTGTTCACCCATGCTTTGCCACTTTCTCTTCCAGCACCTCTCATAAGCCTCATTCTGATAATTCTTTCAGGTGTAGCCTTCGTCAGCATTTAAGCATGGACAGACAAGACCAAGGCAAGGGAGGAGGGGAGGATGGAGTGGAGAAGTGAAATCCAGGCAGGAGAGAATGTGGGTAGAATACACCCAAGGACCTGGATGCTTTCCCTTCCGATGGAAAAGATAAACTTTAAAAAATGTTGTTTCCTTTCCTAGGCCTTTAGCTATTCTTAAGTACACATCAATTGCTGTGAGCACATGGGAGAACATGAAATGAATTTTATAGATCTAAGTGGAAAAATATATTTACCTCCATTAAAAGTGCATAGTAGAAAATAAAAGATACACACATTTCCCCCTTCACTAACTATGTTTCCCCAAAGAGTTATTTTTAATTTTCAATGTTAGCATTACCATTATAGATGTTAGTATTTCTTTACCTTTCCACGTCCTCTTTTCACCTTGCTCTTACTATCCTGTCTTATGTCAGCTGCTGTCCTTTCCAGCAAAGGGATCATGTTCTGCCTCGTGCAGCTGCAGCCCCTGTGCCTGCCCACCCTGCCGTGGGAGGCCAGCCTCTGCCTCTCAGTGGGCCCAGCTCCAAATGAGGCTGTGCTGCATGC